GCGGAGGAGGGCCAGAGAAAGAGGGAGACACAGAATCCGAAGCAGGCTCCAGGCTTCCAGCTGTCAGCACAGATCCCGACGCGGAGCTCGAACTCACGGACCGCGAGATCATGACCTGAGCTGAAGTCGGACGCTTAACCAACTGAGCCACCCAGGCGCCCCATAGGACTCGACATTCTTCTTAAAAATAATACTTTACTCATGCAGTCCTTTACAATTTAAGAAAGGGCTTTTGGCCCTTGGTGTCTTCTGAGCCCCCTGACAACCCTCATTTTTCAGATCGGGAAATAGGTTAGATGGCATGTGTTAGCCAGGTTTATACACTGTCGGTGATGGGGTTGGACCCTGACTCCGAGTGTTCGGATTCTACCATGTTACGTTCTCCCGTTTATGCCTCCTCCCCTCTCCTTTGGCACCTGGCATGCTCTCTCCCAAGCCAAAGAGGCCAGCCTTTCCGGATCTCTGGCATGTGGATCAGACCGAAACTTTGTCGCCTAACTCCTATTAATCCGCTTTGTTTTCATCTAATTTTAAACTTACATTAGTAAGTTTTCCTCCTAAAAAGAGGAAATTAAACCAAACTCGTAAACCAAACTCTGGAAATTAGAGTGTCAGTAACTCATTTGTTAGCTCACGTCTGGGTAAATTGTGCCCACAATTCTGGACGCAGGGTATCCTCGTTTGTTTTCGTCAGCTGGCTTGGCACACCCTGTGCACTCAGAACCGACACCTCTGAAATGAGTGTAAATGACCCCAGGGTTTGCTGGGCTCTTTGAGCGCACCAAGCACTTTCACGCCTTTGGGTAAGTCCTGTTTTCCCGATAGACTGAGACCCAGTGAAGTCAGGGGGCTTGCCCGAGCCCCCACTCCTCAGGAGTCCTGCGGAAGCCGGGATTCCAGCCTGGGCCTCTCTGACCCCAAAACATGTGCTCCTGAGCTCTAGGCTGGGGAGTCAGGAAGGCTCACGGAGGGATTTCTCGAGCACTTTCTGGCTCTGTGTGCCGGTGCTTGTCAGGCATGCTGGGCCCAAACTTGAGGGCCAGGAGGAGAGCAGACAAGGAGGGCAGGATCCAGGCGACCTTCCCCACAGCAGGAAGACGAGGGTGGGTGTTTGGGTTTGGAGAAGCCTCATTCTCAGAAATAAAAATAAACTCAAAAAAAGAGAGAGAAAGGAGACTTAGCCTACTTAACCAATAAACTCTGGAGGAGGCCTCTAGAAGAGGTGGGAAGGAGCCGGATATCAAGAACCAGAACATGTACATTTTGTTAGCTTTGCCGTTTCCTCATGTTTGAGGAAATCTTTAAACAGCAGAGCTCTTGTGTCGTCTTTGGCAGAGCAGGGAGGGGGGGTGCAACCAGCTGTGTTATCCGGAAGGAAAGAACCCCAGGGAACTGGGTGTTTGGTGTTAGCTCTCAGAGAAGAGAAGACAGGCATTGGAAATGCTCTGAAAAAGTAAGCAGCAGCTGTTTGTGTGGCTTCTTGGCGAAGCGGACCACAGAGCCAGTGTCGCACCACTTCCTGCCCATGGGTTCTGTGGGCCCAGGGCGAGCACGTGAGCTGTGCCCACCGAGAGGAGGCGGGCCGCGTGGGGAAGAGGAGTGAGGACTTGCCCACTCGGCAAGTCCTGCTGTTGGCTTTCCTTTCTCTTCCTGTCTCTTCTGGCTTTTAGCTTTCGATAGCAGAAGAATTCGCTTCTTTTCTTTGGCCTCTTTGCTCAGAGAACTTCCAAAAGATTTCTCACTCGCCGTCACCTTTGGCATCTGGGAAGCTTCCCTCCTCTCCTTTTCCTCCAGATGCGTCGCATTACCAGCAGTGTGCACATCAGTTGGTTCCACTCCCGTCCCCACCCACCGTAGCCCCTGAGCCAGGCCTAACCTTGACTGTTGTAGGAGGCCATTTGAATCTGGAGACCTGAAACCCTGTACCCAACACTCACACGGCACATTTTACTTCCATTATTCAAATAGATATTGGAAGGGCACGGTTAGCATTAGGGCCGTGTTTCCTATTAACAACTTTTTTAAAACCTGGTCTCGCCAAGGGGGAGTTCCTCAGAAGATAAGCCCAATAGTTGCCAAGGAGCTTTGACCAGAAAAGATCAAGCAAGCAAACCACACATATATTCAGGTGCCAGGCTCTTAAGGACCAGAGCCAAAAGTGTGACCAGGAGTATCCGATCAACTTAGCAGTGGCCCTGGTATTCTTCTTGACCACCTTTGGTCAAGAGGAAATATTCAGTCCTCTTGAATGCTTTTCTCTCCAATATCTAGTCCGGAGGGTGCATGACTCTGGCAGGATAGTAACCCATATTAAGAGAGTATATATTAATACCAGTTAAAGAGCTAACTATTACATAACTCCTGGATATAGGACACTGTTCTGGAATACTAAAGGCTCACACGTGCATAAGGTACACTTCTTGTTCTCAGAGAACTTACGGGCTAATAAGAACAACCAAGACAAATACACAATTGAAAATGATGTCAGGAATAATGTTAGAGTAATAAGAGTCCTTTAAAATTTTCTGACATCTAAAGGAAGCAAAGTTCTTCATCTGCTTGAAGAGAGAGTTTCATAAAGATGTTAACATTTGAGGGGCGCCTGGGTGGCTCAGTCGGATAAGCATCCGACTTCAGCTCAGGTCACGATCTTGTGGTTCATGAGTTCCATCCCCGCATCAGGCTCTATGCTGACAGCTTGGAGCCTGGAGCCTGACCTGCTTTGGATTCTCTCACTCTCTCTCTTTCTCAAAAATAAATAAACATTAAAAAAAGATGGTAACATTTGAGATGGACCTAAGAAGATGAGTTGATTTAGATTGGCTGGAATGGAAGAAGCAGCGAGCCATTTCCAGAGAGAGGAACAGTGAGGGCACCTGCATGGAACCAAGAGTGGGTGGGGAAGAGTTAAGTGCTCCCATTTGCACATTTACACATGGGGGAACGTGGTGTGTAGTACTCACTGGAAGGTAGGCTGGGACAGCGTTGTGACAAGGAGCCGTTTGGGCTACCCTACTTAAGAATTCATCTTTATAGAGTAGCGGTAGAGGGATGGTTGGCGGGGGGATGATTGGTAATCCAGGCAAGAGGTGGTGGGGCTTCGGCGGAAGCAGTGAGATTGGAAAGAGAGGGACTGAAGTGACCAACATTGCACAGGTAGATTCTTCAGGCTTAAGGTGATGTGGAACCAGGAGTACGGAACCGACAGGCACCCTGCGAGCTCACACCCGGAAGGTTAGGAAAACAGGGAAACAAGGTTGTCTGAGACACGGCCTGGGGTCAGGGTGTTGATGAGTTTGGAACCGGGCGTGGTAAGTGTTAGGTGTCTGTTATTTCTCCAGGGTAAGGTTAATAGTTGGAATTATGTATCTGGAGCTTATTAAAAAAGCATTTCAGTAATTCTTTATCTAGAGGCAATATAGTTGAAGCCCTGAAAATAGATGATATTACCAAAGTAAGTGTGAGGAGAGAGAAGAGGTCAGGGTGGAAATGTAAAGAGTGGAGGGGCCATGGAAGCAGTCGGGGACAGCAGTTCAAAAAGTAGAAGAGGAGACTGGGCCGATCCACTGAGGTGGAAGCCAAGGAAGGAGAGACAAGACATCCACAGGATGGAGGCCATCCTTCCAGGCTAGAGGTTCCCGAGAGCTCCACGAAAGATTCTTATGTGCACATAGGTTTGGGAAATAATACTGCCAGGCCAACAGAGGAGTGAAAAAAAGAAAGTTTCAGTGTGACCCAGTCACCTGCCGTTGTGTGGGCTTTTTCTCGTGAGGATTTGTGATCCCTCCATAAAGAGGCTCCTATTTGCTGTGGGACTTGGGGCTGGCAGGCTGGTCCAGCCTCCTCTAAGTACCCTGAGCAGCCAGCTGAGGGTTAGCAGATGGTGTACACATGGTCCTCACCACTGCTGATTGTCTCTGGCAAGACAGTTCTTTGATGGGAGTGACAGTATCGGGAGAAACTCTAGGTCCGCTGACCCTGTTTCGCTGTGTCTCCTCAGAGTCTGTGATAGGGAACTGCATGGATAGAAGTTCTCCAGGACAAGCAATGGAGCTGCCGGATCACAATGGACTTGGGTACCCAACACGCCCCTCTGTCAATGAGCACCACAGGCCCCGGACCCTCCAGAGACACCACACGATCCAGAACAGTGATGATGCTTATGTATGTTGGCCTCTCCTACTTCTCAGAAGTGGGATCCTACTGGTCCCAACCTTGCCAGCAGTCCTGTGGGGTCACCTCTGCCCTTCCATTCTTCCCAGCCAGAGTCCAGCCTCTCTGGGAACGATGCAAGCATGGCTTTGAATCAACTTCAGAGACCAGTAGAATCTGTGCTCTAAACTTCAGACCAAGGAATCAAGAGTAGTTGCTATCTGTCCCTTCTGGTCTGAGTTATTGAACTTCTCCCCAGACAGTCTAAACTCCAGCCCAAGCAAGCGAACCCATAGACTTTTGGTTAGTTTTCCAACAGTTCTATTGAATGATTCAGATAAAGGGACCTAACCCAGATCAACCGAACTTTGCTTCCTCCCGTAGCAACTAGCCACATGTAGCCATTCAAACTTAAATGTATTTAAAATGAAATAAAAAATTTAGTTCCTCAGTCACGCTAGTCCCATTTCAAGTACTCAGCCACTTGAGGCTCGTGGCTCTGTGCCGGACAGGACAGATGTAACATGCCGCTGTGCTCGCGGAGAGCACTATTGGACCGTCCAGTCCTCAGACCCAGGTCCTCTTGGTGAAGGGGACAGGTCAGAAACCTGGTTTTGGAAGACCGTGTGGTTGTCAAGGGCATGTGACCATCTGCTGAGGTTCACCATGCATCCCTCACCCCACCCACCCCACGGGGAAGGTGGGACAGCTTCCTGCACTGTGACTGCCGGATGGCACAGCTCGGGAGCAGTGCCTGAGGCTGCCCTGTGCCTGGGCTCTTTTAGAGGGAACGGCTGTCACTAAGGGTCACCTGAGAGTGGCACGTTCTCTGGTATCCTGACTTCTTTTCCTAATTGTTTTCTGTAGGTGCAGCTGGATAACTTGCCGGGAATGAGTCTCGTGGCTGGAAAAGCACTTAGTTCCGCCCGGATGTCAGATGCGGTTCTCAGTCAGTCCTCGCTCATGGGGAGCCAGCAGTTTCAAGATGGGGAAAATGAGGGTGAGGGGCCTTATGCATGGGGCACCCTGGGGAAGTTTCTGGAGGCACCCCCCCTGCCATCTTCACTAGTGACTGTTCTCCTCTTCTGTATATAGGGTTCAGGGGAAGATGGGAAGCCATAGCTTCCCCGAGGGGTCTGGACACAAAAGCCTTCCCCACTTGTCTCCATCGAGAATGGGTATACAAAGAAGCAGGCCTTCTGGTTGAGGGCAGGGGTATCACATTTGTCTTTGTAAAGCTTTGATAAGATACTGCTTTAACAACTATCTTTCTACCTCTGATTAGAGGGCATTGTATCCTAAGGGACTATGTCTGCCTCTTCTTAGAACCAGTAAAGGAAGGTATCATAACAGATAGAAGCGTAGGCTTTGGAATGGACAGATCAGCAGTAAATCCTGGCTTTGCCCTTTACAGGTTCCACGGACAAGGCGCTTAACCTTTCGGAGCCTCAGGGTCCTCCTCTCTAAAGTGGCAGAAACAGTAGAGCCTATATCCTAGATTGTGCTGTGTGCTTAACGAGTTTACGGTGCTCAGAAGAATGCCTGGAGCACCAAGAGTGCCCAGTGACCCGTGCCTGCTAGCACTAAAATGGTCTCCTCCCTTGGAGAGCTAAGTCTTTCTGAGGGCACTGCGTGCTGTCTTCGTCCACACTGGAGTAGTGATAGCACTTGAGGTGGGAGACAGAAAGGGAATGGGGCCGAGTGGAGCCCTTGGTACGGGAAGAATCCTGGCCCAGCCCACAGCCTAGGACCTGCTGTGAGCTAGAATTCAGGGTGGGAGCCCCGCTCCAGGGTGCTCAGACTTCTCTCCCTGCCGCCCCCCTCCCCTGCCCTGCCCCAGCTCTCTGCTAAGCTCGCATGTTCTTTCTGGTCTTGCAGAATGCAGGGAGAATCTAGTTGGTCACGAGCATCCGGACCTGGCTGACGGCAGCCAGCATTTAAATTCCTCTTGCTATCCATCCACGTGCATCACAGACATTCTGCTCAGCTACAAGCACCCCGAGGTCTCCTTCAGCATGGAGCAGGCAGGCGTGTAACAGGAAACAGAGAGTGAGTATCTCCCTGGCCAGGGCCAACCCAGCCCTTGGGCCGAGGGCCAGCCCCCGATCCTTCTGTGTGTGGTGGCCCCTGAACTAGGCCACCACTCCCCTCTCCGTCTTTGCATCTTCGTGTTCTGTCACAAAGCGCTGTGCTGGTTGTTCCGGGGGGGGGGGGGGGGGGGGGGGGGGGGGGATGGAGGGGGCAGGAAGGGAGCATACAGGAGAAATGCTGGCCATAGTCTCTTGGTTTACTTACGGGGGTAAGACGCGTGTGGTAGGTGCCGCGTAGCCTGCCCAGAGACAGGAAGTGAGCTGCGGCTTCAGAGGATGGGGCGCCTCTGGCCAGGGTAGTAGGGGAAGGACAGTCCTGAACTCGGTCCCGAGGCAGGAACCCCGGCAAGAAAACCTGTCTAGCCATAAGTTTTCAAGGCCATACTGCAAGCGGAAGAATATTCCAGACAGCGGAGCTGTGTGATCAGAGGCCAGTGGCAGAAAACGGGTAAACTGAGCAGCTGGGCTGGAGTAATGCCTACGTGTACATAGGTAGTATTGCTTTTGTCTTGGAAAACTCGGACAGAAAACAGTGATGAAGGTTAAGCCGTCTGGCAAACCCACCTTCGAGCCTCAGTATGGCAGACCTCTTAAAATACCTGAGGTAAAGGGAGCCAGTTGCGTTTCGCGAAAGTGTCCAAACGAATGTTTGAGCCTCTTGCTCCGAGCTGACTCTCCTGTGTGTGTGTCTGCTCTGTTGCAGGTTTGTGTACAGCTCGGGAATGAAATGACTTTACACCAACAGTATCTAGCAGCATCGCGCCAAATTGCCCTTGTGTTTCTGTCCACCTAGAGCGTCACGGCTCCTTTCCTCACTTTGGTTCATCAGTGTGCGGTTCTTTCGGGTTCTGAGGGGGTTTTGCCACATTTGCTCGTATGACCGAGTCACCAAGGAAATAAACAGGATATTCGTGTTCGCCACCTTTTGTGAAAGTGTATTTGGTATATTTGAGTCGGAGGTTTGGTTTCGTTTGTTTTTTTTTTGTTTTTGTTTTTGTTTTTTTTTGATATATTTTCTTTTGGAGGTGATTTTCTTTCTTTTTTATTTGTTTCTCTCTTTTTCTTGTTTTTTTCTTTTTTCCTTTCCTTTGCTGAGACAGAAGAACAAAGCAGTTAAAATTATAGAGGCCAGGAGACCCAGAGCCACTCCCCTGCCCTGCGTCCCCCCACAGAGCACCTCCGTTTCTCCATTTCCCTGCATTGCTTGTCCACAGGAGCAACTACTCACAGATAACATCCTCTGGATTCTTAGTGGCTGGGGAAAGGGAGAGAGGAAGGGGTGATGGCTCCTGGCGCTTTGGAAAACAGGAAGAGAGCAAAAACCAACAAAAAAGAACCGCCGAGTCTGGAACCTAGGAAGGTCTTGACCGCCCGGATCCCATGAAAAGCTTGTCTGGCCTGGCCAAGAGCGTATCGGAGCGTTAGTGTGGGGGCCGAGAGCGGCCTGGCCTGGAGGGGATGCCAGTTAGAGCATCTCCCTCCGTGTGAGCCTTCTCGCTGCGTAACTCAGCTCCCCTCTGACAACCTGGAAAGTTGGCTGCCTTTCCCGTCCTGCTGGTTCCACCCACAGACTGAACACCCAACAGTGGTTCACTGTGCTTTTTGTGTCCCCTTTGCTTCTCACTTTATATTGTGCTGTACAAGGATTGTTTCTTCACACGCACACACGCTTTTCCCCTTCAGCCTCTGACACAGACAAAGAAGAACAGGAGGTTGCCTTCGGCCCCGCCTCTCTCCTAACCCTCTCCTCCTCCCTGGGCATCCTCAGCCCCTATTTTAATTCTTGATCATGTAGGAATTGTTTTGGGTAAATGTTGATATTATTGTTATTATTATTATTATTATTATTAATAAGTAAAAACAAAAGGAATTTTTGTTTAAAAGAGACATGTTTAACCAGATTCTGTTCTATTTGAATTGTGACTTGCACCTTTTGTTCAGAGTGTTTTCTGTAGACCTTGTAATCGTGAACAGCGCTCACTTGTGCCAGTGACAGGTGTAGTGGTCTCCTTCCCTCCCCCGGGGAGCGGTGCATATGCAGTAGCTGCCGTCTGTCATTCTCTCTGTGTTTCCTCACTGTTAGAAACCAAAGTCTTCTCTGCTGGCTGGGGGCTGACAGAGGATCTGATCTTCAAACCAAGAAAGACATGTCAAATGTTTTGACTCTTGATCCTTTTTCCTGGGAAAGGAGAATGAAGGGTCCCCAGGCCCCTCCCAGTCTTTCACCCTGAATTTGCACAGAAGAAAGCGGGTGCCCCGCATGGCCGTCCTGATGTTGCTGACAGGATTCCCGTGCGGCTCGTCCGTCTCACTGATACCGGCAGCTCAGCTCCTGGACCCGATGCCCCTCGAGTGGACTTCCGCACTGCGAGAGAGAGCCTTTCTTGGGATCTGTCCCGTGTTTGCACGGTCCCCAGTCTCCCCTCCGCTTGGTGAGGCCACTGACTCCTCGCCAGAAGGAGGCTGCCGAGAAGACCCGAACAGCCGCCGTTGGACTTCTCTGGGCTCGTTCCAGCTCCCATGCCCCCAGCCGCCCCCTCACACACGTGCTCGGCCTGTTGTGTTTACATGGGACTGTGCCGATGGAAGAGTAGGCTGCCGTCCTCCAGCAGCCGGCCGGGTGAAAGCCAGTGAGCCTATTAACCGTGCCATCCCGCGAACTACACTTGTAAAAGATCATTGCTTTGTATTGTAGTAACCAATAAGCGCAGTCTATGTTGAATGTATATGAACATAATTTCCTATTTCTGCTCTTTGAAAATGTCAGAAGTATTTTTTTCTTTCTCATTTATGTTGGACTAAAAATGGATTAAAAAGATCTCCAGACCCAAATTGTGGCAGTAAGACTTTTAGTCCTTTTTGTGGCGGTGGTGACGGTGGTGGTGACGGTGGTCGTGGGCAGCATACAGACTTATAACTTAATACCTCAGTTGGACAGTAGGGGATTGTGAAAATAAAAACCTGTTCATAATCTTCTGTTGCTAATGCTACTTGCCTTGTGGTTCAGAGTCTAGCTGAGAGAAGCATCCAGGCGGGTGGAAGCTGGAACCCGGGAGGCTGAGGAAGCCTACAGAGCGCTGGGCGGAGCTTTGAGCAATCCATGATCTCACCCTGCCTTGTAAAGCTAGCATTCTCTAGAAGCCTGGACTCAGCCCACACTGTGTCCCCACTTGGACCCTGTCCCGTCAGAAGGGAGCATTTGAGTTTGCTGAGTCAGATGGAAAACCGATTCCTTGAGAGGGTGCTTTTAAGGCAGTGGAAGGAGGTTCTCAAAGACCTGGGGCCTTTCTGAGGTGACCCCAACCGGCCCAGTGATGTGACTGCCCGGTAGGTGTTAGGACACAAAGGGGACTTTTCCTATAGCTTTCCTCTTTTTTCACACCTGGATTCCAGAGGGCAGGGTGGAATTTCCAGCCTGGTCCCAGGCATGGCAAAGAGCTAGCTGGTTGAGGTTCTTCTGTGAGGAAAGATCACTGAAGCTGGAAATACGAAGCTTGTAGAAAGAAGAGTAGGAAGGGGGCATTTACGAAAGCTTTTGCACCCACAGTGCACCAGAAAGTCACTGTGGGACTGTTGGGAATGGAAAGAGCCTTCCAAGAAGGATCTTCTAGAAATCCTCTGAGTGTGTACACACGTGTGGAAGGCTTGAGGGAGGGTATCTGGAAGCACTCGGTGACCCACCCGGATGCCTTCCACATCTTGTAATGACCTTTGCAGTTGCGTCCCCGCCATGAAATCACCAGGGTGCCTTTGGGCCAGAGGTGCGATGAGCTTCCGGACGAAGTGGGCTGCTGCCCTCCTGGATAAAGACCAGAGATCTGAGCTCTAGAAAGCAGGAGCCGTGCCCACAGACCCTTGCTGGACTCTCCTTCTGACTTTGCGCCGTGCCCCACCCCACCCTAACCATGAGGCAGGTGTTCGGAGGGCTGGTATGCCTGCCCCAGTGCCAGACCTCGGCCCCAGCCGTTCGTACGTGAGCCACCTGCACCTTGGTCTCCTCCTGAGTAGGAGGGCAGGAAAGAATCGTGTGTGGGGGGTGACGGTGCCCTGCCCCGGGGTCTGGGTTGGGGCTCCGTCACCAGGAGCTGCGACAGAATTGCCAAAAAGGAATTACGGGCATGGGGGCTCCCTCCCCCCCGCTCGGTCTGAACCATCCCGATCCCAAGTCTCTGGTCCTGACCTGCAGCACCATCCTCTCCGTTCGAGCACAGGGCTGGATGCTCGGAAGTTACTCCTGCATTTCCTCCCAAGGCCCGCTCCTTCAGATGCCCCTTTACCATCCCGGGGACCCTTTACTGTGCCTGCTGTCACGCATCGAGTAAATGTTTGTTGAGTGTCTGTTATGTGCCAAGTCTAGCAGGGGACAGAGTCCTCCCAGTTCAGAGTGACCAGTACGACGTTGGGACACAAATTGTGAAATGAGTCGCTAATCATTCTGAGCAAAATCCACTCATGCAGCGAGTTAGCAGCACTCCCGGCTGGCCCCTTGGCGACACACTCCACAAATGGTCACTCTGGAGGTGCCTGAGATCAAGGAAAAAGCACGCTGGGACTAAGGGGCTACATGGGTGGACCTTTACTACACAGCTAGTGCAACCCGTGGGCACCTGATGCCTCCAGCAGGGACTGGCTGGACCCCTGTCTGACGCTGAGATGCAGAGGACTTGCTTCCTCTCCAGACTATGAGTAATGAGGGGCTTGGACTAGTTTGAGGCAAACCTCTTGCAATGAAATGGGGCAGACACACTAGTGAGCAAGGGCAGTAGAAAAGAAAACGTCCCGCCTGTTAGGATGCCATCACCAGCACTCCCTAGCCCGACGCCTTGCGATCCCCGAGCTGGGAAACCGAGAAGCCCCTGATCAGAACACGAGGTGGCCAGCCAGGCCTCCTGAGTCCTGCTCCTGATGGCACCAGACACCAATGGCTGGAAGCCACGGGCAGCTCTGAGCTGCCATCTACTGCTAGGCGAGACAACAGCGAAAATATCTGACTGCCCAGCCTTCCAGGGATGATTGTGAAGGTGCTTTGGCCACGGGCGAACTACACAAATGTTGGAATTCGGGTTAGCCATCATGAGCACTTAAGTAATAAACCAAAGAGAAGGGTAGAACAGTGGCAGGTAGCTTGAAGTCCAGCCCGTAAGCTTCTGATTCCCCCACATGCTGGCTGGGGCGAGCTGCACGCCCAAAAAGAAAGGAGCCTCTCTTGGCCTGAGACACCAGGAACTGCCCCCAGGAGGGGACTA